TTTTACCGGGGGTGTTTATATTTGGCAGTGAGGTGTCACAGTCAGGTCTGACTGGGCAGTGGGCACTGCCTTATCATTAAGACATCATTGCTTTCGAAGTGGGACCCAAGTAAGGCTATATTACACTAGGTCCTCGGGCAGCAGATGATGTCATGTTGTCAACGTTGTTGTACAGTTCCGGTCTTAAAATTTAAAATGCGGGTCCCATGAATCTCTGGAAAAGAAAACAGAAGGTGGTTGTTCTTTTCTTCCAGGGGTAAATGCCCCCATCCATAGGCTAAATTAGTCAACCTGGATAATTTGCCAATTTGACTGATATTTTTCTTCAGTGTTTTGTGTTAATCCTTTCTTTTTTCTTTTACCTTCACACTATACTTAGCATTATGTAATGTGTTGTCTAACGTAAACCGTAACATATATACTTCCTTCGGTGCTGCTATTTCTGAGTACAAACTTGAATTTGTACAAATGTGAATTAAACTATAAAGAATAATAAGTATACATTTCATAATGTTCTACTCATACTAACTACTACTCCCTCCATTCCAAAATAAGTGCCGTTTTGGCAAAATGGAAAAATTCCAAAATAAGTGTCGTTTTTGGATTCCAATGCATTTTTTGTCAAAAATTTTCAAACATACCTTCAAAAGAAATAATATTATTGATGAGCATTTATTTTAATGGGGTTGGTTGAGGATATTCTAGTAATTTAATTACCCTATTTAATATTTTCTTAAACTGTGTGCAAACTCAAGAATGATACTTATTTTGGAATAGAGGGAGTACTAACCAGTATATGATCAACATTATTACTCATATAAATGGCCACATTCTATAGTAAGTCCTAACTGCTTATTCAGTTCTTTGGAAGAACTTGCTTTCTGATTAGAGGTGAACGGTTGTTGGCAAGAGTGAGTTGATCACATTCTAAGTTGGTGATTTCAATAATCAGTATTTTAATTACCTTTTTTTTTAATTTGTAAATTACATGGTTTGTTATACCTGTAACAAAAGATGTAAGTATGAAAAAGTTATCTTTATTTGTAGATGCATCACATTCATCTTGTTGGCCGGAGTACGACAAAACTATAAAAACTTTTGCATTTTGGATGAAGAAATGTTTTTGTACGTCTCAACTTAATACTTGTCTCTATTGAACTGCAATAATATTCAGATTGAATGATTGAAATATGTAGCAATACAGGATACATATATTTTGGTATAATAAAAGCAAAAAAAAAATAATCTAAAAAAATTTAAATTATTACACTTTGTAGATAAGAGATTCCTACCAAATCGTGTTCCATCTATTGTAAAATTTTAAACAATGGATCGTTAAACCATTATAAGTATGCAGACAAGAAACAATCGCCGAAAATCTTAGTTTCAAAAAATAAATGTCGTATTAAATTCTCCAATCCCTTCGTAACAATTTTTGAATTCCCTATATCAAAGCTCTATGAAAACCTACCAGCTCATCACTATCCATAACTGTTATTACTACACTTTAATTATCCACTTCCGCAACATCTCGGTGGTAACAAGAATGCCAAACTAAATACAGCCCTAACTGCCATAACCAGAGGAATACATGCATGCTTTTGGCACAAAGGGGGAAAACTGTAAATTAGTGAATTCACTTGTATATGTCCTAAAAAGATTACTCTTCCGTATGAAAGGATTAGTTCTAGCTCTCATATATATATATATGTATGTATGTATCAATCACATTTATAGAAAACTTGTCGTTTGCTAGTGGCTACCAACGTATTAAAAGAAACCCGCAAAATTCAATTTAATTCAAGTTTTGGGCAAAATAATCAGACCTTTTTAATTTCAGTTGCGTAGAAGGAACGGAAACAAGAAAGAAAAGAGGCAAAAAATTGAAGATTGGATTCCAAAAATGGAGAAGAAAGAAAGAAAACACTTGCGGATGGTGCTGGTCAGTGTAAGACAGTGTGAGAGAAGCTTGTTTCCCGGGCTGTCTTGCTTCGGGTTCCCCGACCCGCCCTTTACGCTGACACCTCATCCTATTGGCCATTTTCAAATTTCACCCCCAACATTCATCCATTTCCCATTTATTTCTACTCTTTTTTCTTTTTTCTTTTTTTTTAAAAATCTGATCTTCTTAATTAAGGAGTGTACTGTACATGTGTTTTTTTCTTCTTGGTGCTAAAATAATTTATAGAGTCTCAACAATAGTTTGTTACTGAAATAATTTTTATCACACATTGTTTTGGCATATGCCCACTATACTACATGGCATAATATGATTAGGGTTTCTTTATATGTGTTATGTAGGTTATACAAATCAGAAGACAATGAAATTATTGATAGAATATTATTGATTTTGTGATTTGAATTCTTTTATCTCTTAGATACTCATTACTAGACATCAATAAAGGGATTGTACTTTTAACACAACACCCCAAAAAATAAAAATACAAAAAAAAAATGCTAAAAATTAATCAACCTAACACGTTTATAGAAATGTGAATAAAGATGTAGTGGAGGAGTAGTAGTACTAGTAAGAATACGTCACTCGCAGGATGAAACAAATTTGACCTGATGAAATTATGGGACACAAAAATGTTGAAATAGCCTCTATTTGCCATTTTTTTGAATTAGACTAAAATCCCCAAAGCTTAAAATAAGAGGGAGGGATATAAATATAGTTGGTTTAGGAGAAAAAGAGTCGTGTCGGCAGAAGCATCCTATCACCAGCGCTACGCATTAAATCAACAAACCCTTGTTCCCTCTCCTATAAGAATCCCAACCCAGTGGTCTAGGGTTTCCTCAAAGGCAATAGAGAGAGTCCATCTAAATCTCTCTTCTCTTTATTATAATCCCTATGTCTGTTTTTTACCCACACATTTTCACAAGCCCTCCAATATTGCAACGAATTCAACCGCATTCTTTCTTTCTTTCTTTCTTTAGTGCATCAGTCTAAAACTACAAGTACTACTATGCGAGAAAAAAAAGCAACAAGTCTTTGAGAGGAATGTTGTCTGGTCCGATGCAATCAGTCACCCCCAATATATTCATGTCTGTGTGTGTTCTTTTATGAAATTTCCAGTACACACAGTCACACAGTGAAAAACATGTATTTATGGTATTGGAGGCCTCGGACCAGGCTTCAATCCCCTCAAACCTTCTGCGCGTGCTTGGGCAAATCAAGCCTTCTTAATTAATTGTGTTATATTCTTTCCACTATACATTCAAGATTAATTTTTGGTTATACGTTTCTCTCACAGATTCATCGTATTTTGCAGCAGGTATGTAATCAAACCAGAGTTTTTTATTCAGGATGGTCAAACGCGTAGACATGCGGAGTTTTATTAGGTTTTGCGCTCAAAATGGGTTGCTGCTGATTGACGTTGTAAGCTTGGTGTTTCGTGTGTTTGCCAGAGATTGTAATTAGTTGAAATCTTTTTGTGTTGGGACTTGGGGCAACTTTTAATAAGTTTTATAAAAATCTTTTTGTGGGTAGAATTAAGTAATTTAATGGCCTGGGAAAAGCTACCTCGTCGATCTAGTGAGAGAGTCATGAACTAGCAGAGGTGCAGTAAGGAGTTGATGTATTAATACTAGTAACATTTTGTATATGAAAACCTTGAGATTCAGTGCTTAAATTAATGGTGTGGTCTTTCAGAAGATCAGACATCCCTACTTTCCTATCTCTCTGACCTTAATTTTTTTTTTTCCAACACCTATAAAGCTATTACTTAGTACTACTACTCAACAAATTGTTCTAATATTTTGCCTTTTCTCAACCAAAAAAAAAAAAAAAGAAAATTTTTTTTACTACTAATATTTTGCCTATATAATCATGCATTTCAATGAAACTTTTTTTATACCTTTGGAAGTTCAAAATGAAACCTTCAGAACCTTGATATGGAATCAATCAAATTCACTATATTTGGTATACTAATTAAGTGTCTCACTAATATAATGAAGTATACAAACACGAGAATATCGAGTTCCATAACATTTGATCCGCTATCTCCATCCTTAAGAAGTATTAAACCCTAGACGTGTTTCAGACTTTCATGAAACGCTATGGTCTAAATACGCAAGTACAAGTTGAGGCATTCGATCGAGTGTTACTATATATTCTTTTTTTTCCTTTCATGTGTAATTTTTTTTTTTTTTTCATTTTTGTTGTATCCATGCAACATGCAATACATGCACGAATGATCGACTTGCAACGTTTGATTGATGCAACTGGGATTTCAGATCAGACAGACCATCAAATATTTTCGTGGTTTTTCTTCTTTTACAAAAGATCAATTAAAACGTCTAAATGAGGAATGGCCTGAACCTGAAATACTCTGAACTCTGAAGGACTATTAAATGAGACAGCCTTCAGTTTCGAAGCCATTTAAAAGTATTTACATCAATGCATTAATGTCTCTAGACTCTTTTGGATGGTAGTCCCTCCATTTCAAAATAAGTGCCATTCTAGAATTTGCACACAATTTAAGAAAATATTAAATAGGGTAATTAAATTAGTAGAATATCCTCAATTAACCACATTAAAATAAATGCCCACCAATAATATTATTTCTTTTGAGGGTATGTTTGGAAGTTTTTGACAAAAAATGCATTAGAATATGAAAATGACACTTATTTTAGAATTTCTCCATTTTGCCAAAACGACACTTCTTTTGGAATGGAGGGAGTACTACGTAGGCAGAAGTATCAAATCATACAGTACATTTTGTATGAGAAATAAATTAATGGGGTCAATTCTCTTATAGAACCGTCACTGTTGAATTCAATTCCAAAGATTCCAATTTTCAAAGAGCAATAAAACTTTGAATTGGACTGCCAAATCCCATGCATGTTCACTTCTCAATTCTCATTCAATTTGCACAACATTTTAGACTACTGTTAACTTTCATCTCTACATGAAACAAATCAATCCATTTTCATTTTTCATTTCTTCTGTTACTTGTCAAGTTTGACCAAGTAAAAAGAAGAATTCTCTTCATCCCCAGATAAAAATCATGTTTGTCGCGCTATTTTATTACACAACGAGATTTTTATTCTGGACAGAAAGTATTTAAACTAATAGGCCTCAAGGTCTTTCATTCAATGTGAAACATCAACTCAAATTAACTGTGGTGCTTAATTTCAATCTCCAAAAAGGGTATAGATTCTAAATTCTAATACAATTCGATAGTGGTAAGTGGAAAAAAAACTAAAAAGAACTCCTAAATCATAACTGTACTGTACAAGTAAATCAGATGAAATCATGAAAGTGGTTGAACTCAAGCAACCGATTAGTGTACAAGTAGTGCTATGTGGTTTAAACTTTAAAGGAAAAAAGGGGGGCTTTTCCAAGAGGATACGGGCAGAAAGTTGCCATGATCCTCCTCACTGTACACTTGGGAATACCTTCTCCAGGAAGCTGTAAAACCGTTTCGCATATATCTTGGGTTCTATGACTGAAATGGACATCGGATCGGACTGCATGGATTTGTATGTGTGCTCCAATTTCTTCCTCACATTATATTCCTGCAGTATGTCAATAATGCCGAGATATAGGACAACATCGTAAACCTCAAATAGTTCAACTTCTGCTGGGTCAGACTCATCCTGCCGGAGTTTGCGATTTGCCTGAGCAGGCATGTTCACACCAAGTTGCACCCTCAACCTAAATACATACCCAAAAAAAGTTCATACCCATATTCTATAATAATGCATAAAACAGCTCGGTGCTGGAAAAGAGAGTGGCAAGTGATGGACACCGAAAGTTCTCATGATTTACAATAATGCCAAACATAGAGTGAAGTTCAGCAATATTAAATGTATGGACGTGCCTGCAATACAGACTAGACTTGGACAGCGGAAAATACTTGGATAACCACATAGGGAAGTTGAGAAATTCTGATACTAATTCTTGGCCAGATGCAGTACTAATCTGCGAGCCTTAGAAAGCTAATTTGAATATTACAAGATGAAGCCAAATACTCCACAGCAATTATGGATCATATCTATATATGACTATTATATTTGCATCAAATAAGACAGGAGACAAGTTTCTGTCAATAGGAGACTAGGATTGCAAAACAATGACTTAGAACACATTTACTTGGTCCAGGCTACACTAAAAGCACATTCATTAAGCATCCTTAAAAGTCCAAGACACTTACTCGAGTTATTACCAGTAAAAAATGATAACTGAAGATGTGCAAGTTGAAAACTAAACAAGCAAGTTACCTTGCGGTACCAGGCAGAAGAAGATCAACTTCTTTGTCACCAACAGACATTGCTCTCAAGGTACTACCTCGTATATGAGGACCTGGTTCAGTACTGACAAAACTTGGCTCATGAGTCACCAAAAGCAAACCCCTCGGAGGAATTAGGAGCTCCCCAGCAGACTTCAAACCTTCAGCAAACAAGATGTCAAATTTCCAGCCTCCTTTAGTTGAAGAGGAATTGAAACAATCAGTACACAGCTTAATAGTAATTTCTTTGACAGAGAAGACATGTATATACCATCAGTAACATTTTGTGTGTTCTCAGGTGTGCGTAATGCATCGGGAGGTTCCAAAAGGGGCGTGAGATTTTCAGGAGCTCTGAAATGCAATCCCAGCAGAAGGCTGTAATCAATTATATGCTGAGACTCTAAAAACTTGCAGTCCAATGAAAGTTGCCTGCAAGAATCAGAGAGAGAACTTTCCACTAAGAAATGGAATATGAAGGGATGCATAGGAAACTAACCACGAAAAATCGGCTTATCTATGACTACCGACAGCATACTCTGAGAGTCAGACTGTTCACTTAACAGTGGATATCTTAAAGTTAACTCTCAGCTCTTAAACACTCAAGACATGTGACTCAAAAATTACGAGCAGTGAGGAACTAAAATAGTTTGAAATGAACTAATTAGAGAAAATGACTCATTCAAACCTAGCTAGTGGATCCGACCTGGCGGGAAAAAGGCTTGGTTTTAGCTATATTACTCTCATACACTCAAGATTCAACAGTGTATATATTCACCCTCTGTTGAGAAAGGACTAAACAGAGGAAGCAAAACAAAGAGAGAAAAAACTAACTCGAATAGTGCTTCCCGCAATAACTTGTCCATATGAAACTCATAATTTAAATCAAGATCTTTTAAGGTAGTGCCCTCATCAATTTTGTCTTTCTTTGTAAATCTCCCCAGAGTTGAGCCTTTTAGATCATAGCGACGATGAATCCGCAACTCCGTGCAGAACATATTTCCCATGACCACAAAGCGCACCTGGAGAAGGACTTTGTCACCTAAAGAAATGGCAGCAACATAAAAAGAGTTACAATGTAATTGAAAGTTGGTTGACAAACCTTTTTCCCATGTCTCAATATTATTCTGTGCAAACCAAAGAATTTTGTTATCAGAGTGTTCTCGTGCTCCTTCACGTGATCATAGTAACGAGGTAACATTCTCAGAAAAACCTACATAACACCAAAACTCATCACAGTTTGATCAACTTTATATGCAGAACTGGCATAGAATAGAAGACAAGGAGCAGAAAGAGTGAGAATATATGTTTCATATCAACTTTAGTGAGCGAAAACAATAAACAAAATTGGGAAGAAAAGGAAAGCACCGTCTGCCTGAAAATCGAGAAAGCCATTTTACTAATTTTTTAGCCGCACAAAATGAAAGCCTGAACTTATTATGTTTATCCTTTTGAAGTACTATAAACGATAGCCACGAATGGGAACGGAAATAAACTTCCTAAAACTGATGACACACACATAGAAGCTCCTCCATGACTATTGAAAACTTTCTTCACAAGGCAATGTACTTGTGACTACAAGTGAAAAGTAGCTCCAAAACCAACATTCATTCAACCAGAAGCAGTTGTTAACATTCTTTCCTTATTCGACTGCTAAACAATGAGAAAAAACCCATACAAAATGCATGGACTAAATTGCAATGCCTACTTCACTAGTGGGAATTAACGAATGCATTTGATGTAGTTGTCAACGTTCATAGATTTTGGAGTTCCATAACCACATCAGAACCGGATAGATCCCAAAATATTTGACGAATAATTCTAAAACCAGTAAGAGCGGAAGTACTAGAATGACGATTCAAAGAGATGGAAATTCCAGAAAGTCCATTTCCGACACCCACGAATATCAACATATAAGAAGGTATCAAGTTCATGGGTGGCAGAAAAATTCCTAACTGAAAAAGAAAGAGCCATTCAGCAGTGCACTAAATGAAAAACAAAGTAAATCTATATCCTTGAAAAATGAGATTTTGCTTGCACCTTCAGCTCTGATTTGTTCAAAGTCTTGATTACAAATCTATCATCGCCTGAGAGATAGAAAATACTGCCACTCTTTCCCGGAGAAGAAATCTCTCTAAGACCATCATCTCCACAAATGGACATCATATAGTCTGCAGCACTTAGCTTGAACATTTCTCTCAAGTTTCTGAAAGTAAGGCCCAAAGGGAAAAACAAGTTATTACTCAGCAGCAGTCATTTTGTACAGGTGAAACATGAGGGCAGACTCAAGCCAGCTAAGGTTAACAGTTGCCTCAAACTACAAATATTAGGAAGTTTAAGAATGATTGGTGCATCAAATTTTGTATAACATGTTCACATCAAGAGAAATGATGGTGTACCTGAACACCATAGGGCAGTAGTCCTTCCAATAGAAGTCAACGGAATGATGTGGAGGAGTAAACTGTGAGCCTTTCTTAGGAAAGTACATTCTGATTCTTGCTCGTTCACCAAAATCGGATGACCTTACTTCACGTGCAGGCACAGGGGTGATTTTACCCACTGTATACCTGCAATATTCCAAAAAGGCAATGAGAAGCAATGCTCACAACTAGGGAAGAACGGCCCATCTATGCAGAATCATCACTCAGATAAATTTCAGCGAAGTTGTTTACCTGATACCAAGTTGCAAGTTAAGCATTAAATAGTAACTTTTATGGTGCTCAAATACATTGACACATGACTTCATTTTCACTTCTTCAGCATGAAACTTACACCTCTTTTTCAATTTTATAGACTTTCCTCTAACACTTCTAATCCTTTCCTTGATTAGGACTCCTTGCATATATTCCCTTTCATAAGCAAGAGTTCCATTTCCCAGGAACTCCGATTGATCATCATCAGCATGAAGAGATATCAGTGATAAAGACTCACGTGAAACATCCACACTAATGTCATCAAGAACACTATCTTCGCCTAGTGATGCTGTCCTGCGTGATGATATCTGGCTTGAAGTTCGGGAAAGACCGTTAGACATTTTCTCTGAAAGACTACGCCTGACACTACGTCTCGAAGACCTATCGGAGGTTACTGATGAACTATGTACCAGTTGCCTTTTCTTTTTGTCAGCATTTCTTTCAGCAGCAGGCTTTTTTGAGGGTAATTGTTTATTTTTGGCAGGATAAAATGTCCCGAGCCCATCTTTCAAACCTTTGGTCCATGTCCCAAAATAGTAACTTCCATCTGAGAACCGATAGCATCCTGTACCATGCCTTAATCCATTCAACCAACGTCCATCGAAAAGATCTCCATTATTCCACTTCATAACCCCTCTACCACTCATTTTTCCATTTTTCCAACTTCCAATATACATGTTCCCATTACACCATGCATACCTTCCACTGCCTTCCCTTATGCCCTCTTTCCAACTTCCATCATAGACATCTGCATTACGATATTTCTTTCGCCCAATTCCATGCTGTAAGTTTACCCTCCAGCTGCCCCTGTATACAGATCCATCAGAACCGGTAAATGTTCCAAAACCGTGGAGGTAATTTCCAGAAAAATCACCCTCATATGTGTTCCCTGATGGCCAGGAAATCCGACCTTTCCCAGTCATTTTCCCTTCTTCCCAAAGACCATCATAAACCGTTCCATCAGACCAAGTATATTTCCCTTTTCCATGAGGAAGTAGTCCTTTGAAAATACCCACATAGACATCACCATTGGGGAAAACCTTTTCAAGATTCCTAGAGATACAAGTTAGCAATCAGTAATGATTATCTTCAGAGTTCGTTTGAACTTTGACATTCCATAAAAACTCAAAAGCAACATATTCTCCAAATACCTTTCACTAGATTCCATATATGAAGATGATGATTAATGAGAAAAGACACTTCAGAATGCCCACATGGTTTTCAGCAAGCAATTCATCTAGAAGATTTTACTCTTGAAATTGCATGGGCTCCAGTTTACAGCTCTGAGCAATACAAAAACAGTCCATGATTGAGAGCGAAAAAAACCATGCAACTCTTACACATTATATAGATATAAAACACAGATTTATGCTACATTCAAGTTAATCACTCTCATTTTAGTCTTCGCCATGGCAAAGAGATACTATTCTTATTCAGACATATTCTGCACCTCTCTTTTTCTTCTTTGACATTTGGATTAACGTAATTCACATGAAAACGAACATTTTACACGATCCCATATCATCGAAAACAAGCCCATGTTCAGGGAAAAAAAGGATCTAGTCACATAAGAACAAACAACTGACAAGAGATTAATGGCAAATATTAGCAAGTACAGAATCATAAGTAACACGCACCCCAGACAACACTAATAAGTAAAACTTCTTTCCTCAAACAACAAAGAAAATCATGAACAAGTAGTAAATTACAAAGGCCCCATTCATTCAACAAAAAAGGCCCCCACAGAATCAAATCTCAATCAAAACATCAAATTGGGATGATCAATACAAAATGAACAATAACCATATTAAATCAAATCAACTCAATTTAAATTAAACATAAGTTTATATCACTTCAAGCAAGTTCAATTAGGAAAAAAACAGAGGGAACAAGGAAACACCACAAACTGAGCTCTCTCACCTCCAGACAAATCGCCACAAGAAACCTATAAAATGATTCCTCAAAAACCACAAGAAAACAATCTTGAAAACACCAACCTCCTTTTTTTGGCCTGAAATGATGATATTTTTTTTTGAAATTGGAGTCCCAGTTAACCTAACTCTCTGTGGAGCAGCAGCTCTGCCAATTAGAAAAAATTCTGCTGGTGCCTTCAGACAGCAAGGATTATTTAAAAAGAAAATATTGGCTTGTTTTATAGCAGATACTAAGGTGACACGTGGCAATCATGCAAGTAGCGGGCTCCATTTTTTTTTTTTTTTTTTTTTTGGAATCATGTCGGGCCCGTCAGCTTTTGGTCTGGCCCATTTCGGTTTTAATATTTAAAATGATGTGTGAGCGGGGTGGAGTGTGTAGTGGAAATCCTCAAGGCTGAGTTGTTGTTATGTTAGTATTTCTTTTTGTCGCTAAATTATTTGCCACGTAAAGCATATGTGATCAACTTTAAATTAATTTATTATTTTTTATGTCCCGAAAAGAAAAAGCCTTTAAATTAATTTAATCAACTAAAAGGTTTTTCTTAAAATAAAGTTTTTGATACCAATTGAATAAATTACAGCATTTAGACGTTGTCATATTATCATGGAGATTCCCTTATTTACGAAATTTCCAAATCAGTAGCATAATTAGCTCACCTAACTTTAAATTATTCACTTTTGGCAACCTTTTAAACTTTGAAAAGCGAAATTAATTAAGGGTATGTTTGTTTAGTTTTTTTAGTTTGTGTTTTTAAGTGTTTTTTTATATTAAAAAAATAAAAAGGTGTATTAGAAATGTAAAAAAGTATATTGAGATGGGACATTTATTATTTTAATATTATAAAAAAACCATCCAAAAACCAAAACAAACAAAGCTTAATTATGCAGGTGAAATTTTGCAATTAATATTTATAGGAAAAACCGAGCTTCTTCTTCTTTTCGAGTGATGAATAGCAAAAAAAAAAAAAAAAAAGAAAAGAAGGAAAATTCAAACACGACTAAATTTTTATTAGACTACATCTGATATAAGGTCGATCGGCCAATCTTCAGACAAATTTAAAACAACTCCCTGCCTACTATGTTAAGATCTTTCCACAAATGATTAGATGCACAATAAATGTATATTGTGGTCAAACCTTTAGTATAGAGAGCATGAAACATATGAAGCAGGCAGTGTAATTATAAGATTTTTAAAAAATTCACATAAATAATAGCTTAGGTATTTAGGTGTGTCAACTTCTTTGTGTATACATACCCCGTTCACATCATTTAAACCTTTTTTTCTTATTTGTACTTGTTTGTGCCAAAAAAATCACCTAAACTCGTGGAAAACAAAGGTTAAGTGCCTTCTAAAATTACTAACGAAATTAAACAGTTTACTCCACGGGCTTACTTTAAATGCAAAGAGGATCGTCACAAATTAAGACTGTTACGTTGCATGAGAGGAAAAAAGAAAACATTCGATTCATGCATATATGTTGAGCCAAATATACATTGAAAATACTAATAATATACTACTATAAACGAAAAGGGGAATCGAGAATCGCTTCTTATCTTGCGAGTTAAACTCCAAGATGGTGTTGGGATTCATTATTTATTTAATAAAAATACTAAATCGATGTACAGCTAAAATGACATGGAGGTCATCTGATTGGCATCTGACGACCACTGTGCGGCCACGTGAGTCATTACATATGGACGTGGGAAAGGCATTCAAAATTTTCATTCTAAAAAGTTTCGAACCTTCATAAATTGGACATCCATGGAGTGATGGAGATGCTTTGTTCTCCCAACTTTAATTTCTCCTTTAGCATTATTTTTTAAAAATGAAATGTCACGAAAAGAAAACAGATTCATATCTCTGATTAGAGAATATTTAAAGCCATTTTATATTAGTGACATTTAGTGAATTATCGATCCTATAATATAATTTTGGGTCTATTTACAAACACTCTTTTAGTTTACACGTTTGAAATGATTTGTTCAACAATTTAGTTTCACGTACTCCAAAATATGAAAATACTACTCCTTCCTTCCGTCCCAAAATTATTGTCCAGTTTGAGATTTCACTTTTAGTATAATTTGAATTAGAAATGAAAATTCAAATCGAAGAATAATTATGAGACGGAGGGAGTATATCTTATGCAACTCTAGTTAGATTTTGAGTTTTGACACATAATGTTACTTGTTCTTTGGGTTTTATCCATCACTTGTTACTGATATAATTACTCAAGAAATTTTAACACATGATGTATACGTATCGAGGCTTGTATAAAGGACAAGGGTTGTGCAATTAATTTTATCAAGCAGTACTATATTTTTTTTTACTTGTTTAAACAATATATATATATATATATGTCATAATTGTCAATTGATGCAATTTTTATATGATCGACTACTTTTTGTGAGACCGAAGAATTGTCAATTGATGCAATTTTTATATGATCGTCTACTTTTTGTGAGACCGAAGAGTACTACATGAATGGACGTGGAGTGTTACAAAATTTCTTCAATTTTTTTTTTTTAAATGAGAGCCTTCTTTTGATAATGTAACATATATCTTAGGGTTTTTACATATTGGAAATGGTCTAGAGATGAGTGGCTCCTGAGTTCTGGCAGATATAGGGAAATTTTCTAGTCAATAATATATCCATCTTATATATTATAAGAATACTAGTCTTGTACATGCCGCGCGTTGCGCGACAAGTGTTTTTTTAAAATCATTTAACTCTATTACGATAAATATTAGTAATAATTTATCTTAACGCGTAATAATTGTAGATACATGCTTTTATAGGACTTTGTTAAGTATACTTCTTTTGATGGGATTATTACGTTGCTTATCCTAATACATACAGTATCCCACAAAATGATTAAGAAATCTATCAAAAAGCAAGGAAACAAAATAGAAAATCAAATTAGTACTTTCATGTGCTTCCATGAAAGTGTTGGAAAAGGTAGGTTGATTTATTTTAATTTTGTGGTCTTTCAATTTTTATTTTTATTTTTATTCGGTAATATGGTCTTTCAATTTCAATTTTGACGCATGGATAATTTTCTTATAAAGTTAGAGGGTGTGAGTAACTTTAGATAAAATTAGCCAAAAAGTCAAAAACTAAAATTTGCTTTTGATAGCTTTTGTTCTATCACTGTTAGCAATCTACCTTAGAGACTGTAACTTCTTCAGTCAAAGAAAGTTGGTAATGTTGCATAAGTTACCTCAATGACAGGAAACAGAAGACTATTTTTTAATAGCAATAATAAACTTTTAACTCAAACATCGTATCTAAAGTGAAGGCCAAAATTGTTGGACTTGTAGTATTTCACAAATAAAAACAGAACAAAAAATTAAGGGGACTATTAAGTTACTTATCACAACTCAATTCTCAGACACAGAAAGCTGTCAAATCTCATCTTAGCCAAACTCTCAGTTATTCTATCAGGTTGTTGTTTCAAGCTGGAGGCAAGAAGCTTCAAGTACTCAGTAGAGGATAGTACCAATATCACTTGGCCTCCCTTTTACTTGCCAAAATCTAAATTGTTATATCACGGCTAAGAACCTGTAACTTTCCCAAAGGCAATATTTTTATCATCTAACATAGTGCATTAGCGCATTGATGTTCTCGAACTGCTTCTGAATCTACTACTTCAGTTCACATCCACTTTAGTCTTGCCACAACTTAGTTTCACTAAACGAAAGTGGACAGAGAGCTAGAAGTTTTGGATTGTAAAGCAGGTAGCAGATCAAGGAGTGTGATGATACTTATTAGATTCCCAGTAGCTCAAATAACAAAACGAAACGTAAATACAAATTCTTGAGACAATCATACATCGGAATCTGCAGACAGAGGAAACCATAAACATTTAGTAATATTATAACTTAGAGATTGTAAGTTCTTCAGTAAAAACAAAAAAGATCACATGAAATAACAATAGAATACCGCAATGCAGTCTATTTCTAGATTCTGCTAAAGCAGCAACTTGGACATTGCTACCAGTTCACTTGGCAGAGAAAGTTGAACTTTTCTTTTAACAAAAGGGCAAGCAAATCATAGCAATGATGCAAAACACAGGTACCCAAAACCTTAAGTACTCTACCATTCAAAAACTATACTGGACAATTGAGTGATCAAAGATTTACTTCATTGATAGGCATGTTAAAAGTTATACAGTGTGTGAGGAAGAAAAGTTCCAATAAATAACCGACATGGAAGCCTCATCTATGGTAATCTCAAAATAAAACTCATGTTAGTAGAAGAGGAATAACATCCAATGACTATATGAAATTTATTTATGCACAGAAAAATAATTTAACTGAACTGTCAAAGAACCATAAATAGATCACTATACAAGTCCTATGACTTGTTGAATAAACTATATGAGGAATTAATCAATAAAACTTGCTTGACATGAGAAATTTATCCTGATTAGTTATCTATCAGCTAAAAGGTATCGGCTCTGAGTGCCATCATCAGTGGTGCTGAAAGATAGTAGAAGAACATCAAGAATCACATGCACAATGTAAAACCCACAAAAGAGCTCAATGCCTGGAAAAGTTGATATATATATATATATATTTATTTATTTACCTTGAGCAATAATGTAGTTCACCTGTATATACACCGGTCTAGAAAGGTAAAGCTAATCCCACAAAATCAGAACACAACAAAATCTATTTTCTAACACATGATTTTGCCTCTCCAAGAACCTCTGACTAAATCTCATGGCACAAGTCGAAACTTTTCGGGTTCCTCTGGTCTAACTATGATCTACCTCTAGAGAATAATATAACTCCTTAAAAATGTTCTCCTAAGGATAAGCAGAAATTATTCTAGAAGCCAGAATATAAATTGTTTCTATTGACAACAATAAGTGAACAAACCCATGATAATCAAATTTCGGATATGGAGCCATTGTGATTAGAGTGTTTTCTAAAACATATTCCAAACATCCTATACCATCAGGCCTTTTAATTGTAGGGAAAAGAAATTAGAAACACATACCTTACCCTTCTGCTAATATCCTGTGAGAGAAGGGGACTTTATGTAATTCGGCTGGAATTGAGTCTGCAACTCGAACCATTGCAATATCTGTTTCTAAGACAGTCTATTAGTTTCCAAACCATTAAAATTATTAACAACCTCGCTCAATTAACAACAAATTCACAACTTCAAAACCGGAAAAAATAAGGGAATCAAAATTAGTACCTGTCTGTAGGATTTGGAAAAGAACCAGAGAAAAATCTTTACAAATATTCAAGCTTCCTCTACCGTAAAGAGGTAAAAAAATAATAG